TGAAGACTGATGTGTCATTATTTATTTATTCCAATATTAATACTCACATTTATCTCCTTGTCTATGTTGATGGCATACTAATCATGAGCAACAACACCAGTTTCTTGGCTTCAATAACGAGCAAACTAGCTGACACTTTCAAAATCCAGGATATGGGACCTCCGAGCTTCTTCTTAAGGACTGAGACAGTACACAGCAAGGGGGTGCTTCTTCCGTCACAAAGGAGGTACATGCTAGAGATACTCAAAAGATCTGAAATAGAATATTACACACCAATTTCCACACCAATCCCAGTCAATAATAAGCTATGTGCATCAGACTCATATCAATCGTATGACAATCAAACACAGTACCGCAACATAGTTGGAGCACTCCAATATCTCACCATCACTCATCGAGATCTCTCCTTTATTGTCAACAAACTTTGTTAATCTATGCAGTCTCCAACCAATGATTACTGGATTACCCTAAAACGTGTCCTAAGATATGTCAAATTCACTCTAGACAATGGACTTTGTCTTATTAAGTCAGATTCAGACGCTATTCATGCATTCTCGGACTCGGATTGGGCAGGCTGTCCTGATGACAACAAATCCACTAGTGGATTTGCTGTCTTTATTAGTAATAATCTAATTTCCTAGGCTTGCTGCAAACAAAAGACATTTGCTAAATCCTCAACAAAAGCAGAATACAAAGCTACTGTTGATGTCTTGGCGGAAGTTACATGGTTAGTTGCTTTAATTAAAGAGCTTTGTCTTACCCTGTATAGAAACCACAAAAATTTTGGTGTGACAATCATGGTGCTATCTTTTTGTGTGCAAATTTTATGTTTCATGCAATAACCAAACATGTTGAAATTGACGATCATTTTGTTCGTAAAAAAAGTGGCATCAAAAGAAATACAAGTGAACATCATCTCTACAAAAGACCAGCTAGCAGACATATTCACCAAGCCACTAACCACAACAAGATTCAATGATCTAAGGGTCAAACTCAATTTTCTCTCAAAGAATCTCAAGCTTGAGGGGGCGTATAATGACTAATGACTCTATATTCTAGTTACACTAGAATTCCTTCTCCATCTCTCTGTATTATTGGGAATATTATCATTTACCATTTTTATCCTGCCTGGGACTCTTTGTACTAGTTATTGTTCTCACAATAACCTAGTATGATATCAAATGTCAAATCAAGTATTATCACTATGCCAAAAGTTATATATAGGTAGTAGGGAAGAAATAAATTCATGTCTTTATACCTATCTGTAGTAACCAATGCCATTTTTCAATGGCAACATGTTAGACTTGGTACACAAAACTTCTGCCCAACAATATTTTGATACAATGTTTTACATTGTATTGGTACACATGCAGTTAGCTGGTGTGAAAGAAATTTGGATGAGATGAATGGAATTTAATTTGTTAATTTTCTTGTGGAATAAAATTTAATTTTATTTATTTAGGGCATGTTTGGTTAAAACATTAAAATTGAAATTGTAATGGAAATAAAATAATTGATTAGTGTAATGGATTTAAGTAAAAGAAGCATATATATTTGCATGGTAGCATATATATATATATATATATATATATATATATATATATATATATATATATATAAAAGAGGCGATCATATATGGTCATGTCATTAGGTGTGGCAGTGTGGTCATATCTGTGTCGTTGAATCAGTTTAATATAACAGCAGTAGCTAATTCTGAAGATTTTTGCGCGTTTTGGTAAGTGGGGGTGTTATGGTAATTACAGTGGCCATTTATAATGGCTAGGGTCCAGAATACACCAATAGTGTAGACAACATGCACCAATAGTGTAATAAAACACACCACAGGGTGAAACACACCAATAGTGTATTCCCGAACACTGTATGATGTATTTATTCATATCTAATGGGCGCGTCTTTGGTGATGCATACCTAATTTGTGTATGTTTTTTACTGTGCATTTCATAACATGGATGGTGTATACTTGTATAACAATTGGTGCGCCCGCACTGACCACACGGGAAGGCGTTGCCGCACCTGAACTTGGCACCAATGGGAATCTACAAATACACCAGAGTAAGGCTAATAATGCACCAATTACACAAATAGAACACACAACAATGTGATTTCCCTTATTATGGTGCCCTATGACGGGTTTAACCTTGCAGTTCGCTGGGGAGGAGAACGCGCGTGAAAATACTAGAAGAATCTTGATTAATGTGATTCATTGGATCTATCTAATCTAATGGCCTGTAATTGACTATATGACCACACCTAACAACATGGCTGCACTTGATCGCCCTATAATATATATATGATCGCGTTCAGTGCGAAAAGGACACTGAGAGGGAAAATTCGAAGGAAATTAATTATGCACTCTTAGAAAGAAAACCGTGCATTTGAAGACTACAAAACGTGCACTTGAAGTCCAAAAGATATGCACTCAAAGGCACAAAGATGTGCACTCAAATGAGAAACTAAATACTGAAATAAAAGTGATGCACTTGAAGAATGAAAAATGTGCATTCAAATGAGGGCAAATGTGCACTCGAAGAAGGACAAATATGAACTCGCATACAAAAGGCAAACTGACTTATTTACTCAAAAGTACAATTATGCCACGACATGTTTTTTAATTAAACTTCCAATTCATTATTGCATGGATCATGGTCCAGACTCCAGACAATAATTTGCCTTAAACTTCAATTTGGCCGGTTGATTTGTATTGCCCGCTGGAAATTCTCCTCATTTTTTTACCTGTTTGAACCTTTTTTATTTGATCCGCATAATATATATATATATATATTGGTGCAAATAATTTCCCTTTCTTCCCGATTGAGTGAAGCGTGTCTGGCAGATCGAAGCAAAGACACTGAAAAATATGGTGTTAATTGCTGTGTTCTGATATTCCAAGAGGACATGATTGTCATGTTTGATCAGAGAGTACTCTCTTCTCTTTTTTTTTTTTTCTTTTTTCTTTTTTTTTCTTAAATTTCCTGTCAATCTGATTACTGATACTGATTTTACAATACAGCACACACACACAGAGTAGGGCAGACTGCTTCTCTGCTAGTTTTCCACTCTCTACAGTGTTGTTGTATCTATTAACTCTTCATAAAAACAAATAAATTATCTAACAATAATAACATTTATTCTATATATATATATATATATCGGATGGCATTCATGTGGTGATGAGAACTAAAACCATGTTGCTGGATGAGTGTTTTCCTTGCTGAGTAAGTGTGGCTCGTGAAGAAATTTAATACCAAACATGCTATCCATTTTCAGCTAAAACCTAATTATCATTCTTCATCTTCTGCCATTCTATTAATAACCCTACCTTCTACTTTCTTTCATAATCATTTTACTTTAAAAAAAAAAAAAAAAAAATCACCTATCCCTATAATCTTAGTAAAAGAGGTAAATCACAAAGTGTATCTCAATTGTTTACAATTCTAAGGTGCCTATGAATCGAATCAAAACTCTTAATTCTGGAAGACAATCATTCATTACTTTGTTTATGCATACACACACTTCTACCACACCAATCGTCACCATATTTTGTACAAAATTATACTCTTCGATATCATAGAGATACTAATAAAATAAAATAAAAAGGATAAATTTTGTATTTGCTAAAATTGTACTATGGTAGACATACAAGGGTAGAAGGATCACAAAAAAATAAAAAAAAAATAAAAAAATAAAAAAAATTACTTCTTTTGTTTTGTTTTTTGTTTTTTGTTTTTTTTTTTTTTTGCCCGGGGGTTGGGGAAGGAGTTAACTTTGAAAATATGTGTATTTACTCAGTAGCTAGGGTAAAATAGACTGTGAAAAGAGATCTATCCAAAATACACTGAAAAGAGAATATTCTAATTGTGTGGATATAGAAAAAAAATAGAATGAAGTAATAGTACAAATTTGTTATAATGAAGAAGTTAATTTTATTCTTAAAGAATGAATAATTCTACAATAATTATTCTTTTAATGTTTCATTCTATGTTTGAAGATAATGAAAATTAAATTCCAATCCCTCTCATATTTTTTTTTTGCTGATTTCTCTTTTTTTTTTACACATTAATTTTCCTCTTTTAAAAAAAATAAGATCAACAAATTCTACTCGTTTGTGACGGTAAAACTATCGTTTAATTAATATAAGATTTTTTTTTAATTATAAAGTTAATTTGTAAATTATTATGATTATTGACATAACGATATGCAGAAAGGGAATTAAAGAATTAGGAAGATTGGATAATGTGTGTGAATGTGAGCAATTAATTAAGGATCACATGAGTTGCATGAAAGGGTGATCTGATCTTTAGTGAAAGTGCATGAGATGATCAGTCTTAAAAGAGGGGTAGTTTTGCATTAATAAAATCTGTAACCAAAATCATGATGGATATAATTACATGTGTGTGTGTGTATATATATATATATATATATATATATATATATATATATATATATATATATATATATAGAGAGAGAGAGAGAGAGAGAGAGAATTATGATCAAATTAGAACAATCTTTTCAAGTGAGAATGTAGACAAATTTGATTCGTTAACTTAAAATTAATGAAAAAATATGGTGATTTTTCTGTAATTATGATTGTATATTTAGAAATTACATTGTTTTTTTTTAATGCTACTGACTCTATTACAATGTAGTATTTGTTCATATACTTTCTCAACCTACTGAAATACAAAGAACCAATAACGCCTGCACTGAGACTCGAACTCACAACCTTCAAAATGGAAGTCCAACCCGGGTATCATTAAACCACATAATCTTGATTCCAAATACATTATTAGTTATTTACAATTGCACATTCAACCATTTCTAAATGCACAATTATAATTACAAAAATGTCATCATATTTTTCTCTTATTTTTCTTTATTTTAATTTTCAACAGTTAGATTTTGTCCACCGAGAATTATTTTATACTTTGTTGGGGGTTTGTAATTTCATGCATGCTACAGCCTGCAAGCCATAAAGTAAGCAATCAGATTAGTACACAATCTAATCAACCTTCTGTGACAGTTTGCCTAACGACAATCAATGATTTCATTATTAGTTTTTTTTTTATTATAAAGAAAGTATTTATTCTAAGAAATACATATATAATTAGATTTGTTTAAACTTTACTTTGATATCAAACAAGAAGTCACAAACAAGTAGACAAAAGTTATTAATTGGTTTAACTAATTAAGTTATTAATCACTCGGGACATGTTAAAACTAAAAATTAATCTATTATTTTTGTGTTATGTCAAAAATTGACAGTCTAATTTAGCGTTATTGATCTTAAAATGGTTTATATCTAAAACATAAATAAAGTTTGCAGTGAAATAATGCAATTTTTAGAGAGATAGGCAGCAAGATCAGCAACAGTTATCTCTTGTTTGCCCTAATGTAGCTGCTTCAGATCTGTGTGCTTCATGCAACTATAAACTCCCAGATTATAAGAGAAAATTAAATAATTATTTATCGAATTTTTTCAGCTAATTAATTAGCTGATTATATAAATAATTAAAAAAAAAAAAAAGTTGTGAGAGATTATTTTCGTAATTAATGACAATTTCTTTTCAAGAATTGTCTCTCTCTCCCTTTCTCTCTCCTCCTTTGTCCTCTCCCATTTTCTGACACACTGGTCTGCATTGGAGTAAACTTGATTCCTGATAGTGCAAGCAAAGCAATCACCCCACTTTATTTATTTATTCATTTTTGTTTTAATCTCCCCTTTCAAATTTTTCACTTGCATTCAAAAAAAAAAAATTAAAATTAAAAATTGAACACTTTCTCTCTCATGGTTCTTCTGCTAACTTTTTGGGCCTCACTACTACTAATAAGCTCATGCTTAGCTTAGTGCTTCTTCTTCATTCAGTAGCAAAACCCACCTCCAAAAACTCCTCTTTCTTCTTCTCCTTCTTCTTCTTCACACCCATAATATTATTATATTATTTGTCTCAGCTCAAAACAACATACACTTTCTTAGCTACCCTTCATTGCAGTAATTAAGATGGTTTAGTGTCAAGATTAAACCAGACAGAAGAGTGTTGGTTTAGTTCAGTTTAGTTTAGTTTAGTTTAGTAGCTCTTCTTCTTCTTCTTCTTGTAAAAACAAACTTTTTTCTTTCACCCATTATATTCTAGTTTCTGGGGTCTTGAAGTACAGGAATGGAGATTCCATCAAGTCATGAAGATGGAGAAATGCCAATTCCCATAAACAGCACATATGGGCATGGGCATGGGCAGCATATCATAATGCATCATAATCAAAATAATAATAATAATCACATAATAATCCCCTCGGCACCACCTTCCTCCATTAATGGCGTCCCAGTTGAGAGCACTGCCAAGAAGCAGATGGTGAGGTACAGAGAGTGTCTGAAGAACCATGCGGCCGCCATGGGAGGCAATGCGACTGATGGGTGTGGAGAGTTCATGCCCAGCGGTGAAGAGGGCAGTCTGGAGGCTCTCACTTGCTCCGCCTGCAACTGCCATAGAAACTTCCACCGGAAAGAGGTTGAAGGTGAGCCTCTATTATCCCTGCAAATCCCCCCATCTCCTCCCTGTCACTGCACCTACCACCACAAGAGGAAAGTCTTTGTGGGGGCTGAGCCATTGGGAGGTGTAGGGTACCCTAGACCACCCCCCCATCAGATGATCATGTCCTACAACATGGGCGGCAGCCTGCACCCGTCAGATCAGTCAGATGAGCATGAAGAAGGCGGCGGTGGAGGTGGTGGTGGTGGTGGTGGGGTGGTGCTCCGGCCACCATTACACCAGATGGGGATGGTGAAGAAGAGATTCAGAACAAAGTTCACCCAAGAACAGAAAGACAAAATGCTGAGCTTTGCTGAGAGAGTTGGGTGGAAGATTCAGAAGCAAGAGGAATCTGTGGTGCAACAATTCTGCCAAGAAGTTGGAATCAAGAGAAGGGTCCTCAAGGTTTGGATGCACAACAATAAGCACAATCTTGCCAAGAAAACCATCCAAAATCCCAATCCCAATCCTCCTCAAATTCAACTCTAGATACAAATCATCATCTAATATTAATTTCTTCTCATCATCTTATATATTTTGGTGTTGATTTTAGCTAGATTTCCAGTTTCTGGTTGGGTATGTATGGATTAGGATTTTAGGTCAATATAAGTTAAAATAATACTGAGAATGAAGGAGAGGGAGGGAGTAGAGATCAGAGTATAGTTCATGCTGTTCCCTGTTGGTTGCTTAGAGACTGCCTTTATGCACTCCATCTTTTCAACATTTTTCTTGCTAGCCTATTCATCAATAATTACTTTTCTTTATCCCAACTTTTTTTTTTTATTAATTCCCATCATCCGTTTGATGAAATATATAATTGGCTATATTAATGAATAGGTCCACCTTATAAAATCAAAATTAATAAAACTTCTGTTTTATGTGTCTGGTTTGATTAACGAAACTTGCTGATGAAGTTATTTTTAATATAATTTTTTATAATATTAGTATACAAAATTTATATATTCCGAAACTACACTAAAAATAGTATTAAACACAAAAAAAAAAAAAAAAAAAAAAAATCAAATTTGAGAATAAGTAAAACATACTAAAGAAAATAAACAGAGAAGAAAGAGTTGGTTTGACCAATGAATAGTAAGTAAGACAGATAAAAGATAAATGGGACAGACAGAGTATCAAACATACTGAATGTATTATTTAAGTCATATACTAACTAATCATCTAACATATACATTTGACTAGTTTGATAAATTATAATAGTTTAACAACTTTCAGTTTTAAATGGAAAAAAGTGAAGATAATATACTTGGATTACTCGGTCACCTAAGCACCGCTTAGACGCTCTAGGCGTTAGGCGCCCCTCAAGCGTCAGAGTAGCGCCTAGCTCATTCTGCAATATTGATCTGCATCAAATATTAATTGATCATTCATATTTAACAACTAATTATCAGAGAGTGTGTGGGCTATAGTAGGGGCCTGGCACCTCCCCAAGATGTAGATTAATTTTTTATTTATTTTTTTTCTCATTTAGGGTAGTTGTTTAATTGTTTCCCATGACAAAAAGCCAAAAAGAAAGACTAAACAAATCCAAAAAGGGACAATAATTAGACAAGAAAGGCAAAATCAAGAATAAAATGCGTTAGGGCAACCATCTAATTTGGTTTCAACTTTCAATAGCACATTTTGGAGATTTATTTTCACCTTTAATTTTATTTGGTCATTTCATCCATTTATAAGGTTGTTCGCAACTTTTGCTAGGGTTTTGTTCCATTTACATTTTTAATTTTATACTAAGTCTTTTCATTTATTTTTTTTCTTTTTGTATTTTTCTATAAATTTTTAAAAAAATTCTAAAGTGTCAATCAATAGTAAAGTGTTAACGGTATACTCAGTATAATTCGTTATATTTATGAAAATTTATTCACAAAAATTAAATAAATTAATTGAAGGAATAAAAGGTTTTAAAAAAAAAGTTATTATTTCTTTTTTATTAAGCCAAACACATAAAATAAAATATTTTACCTTTCCTTATTTAAATATCAAATTTTATTATTAGTTGTTTTTACTTTTTACCAATAATAATGAAGTAAAGGCAGTAGAGCTAAATAATAAAGGAATAAGGGTCAAATAGGCCATTGAACTGCACACAATAATGCAATTAGGCCACTGAACCAAAAAAAACAACAATTAGGCCACTAAACTAAGCAATTTTATTCAATTATTCTAATTTACAGGTTTTGTAGGTTACTAACAGGTCACCCAAACAATTTAAAATATTTTAAAAAAAATTATTATTTAAAAATAATAAATTAAAAAAAAAAAAAACTCGTCTCTGCCGGAGACGAAGAGTTTCTTCGTCCATGGCCGGAGACAAGAAACTCGTCTCCGGCGGAGACGGTTAATGTTTTTTTTTTTTTTTTTTTTAATTTTAATTTTAATTTATTATTTTTAAATAATAATTTTTTTAAAAATATTTTAAATTATTTGGGTGACCTGTTAGTAACCTACAAAACCTGTAAATTAGAATAATTGAATGAAATTGCTTAGTTTAGTGGCCTAATTGTTGTTTTTTTTAGTTCAGTGGCCTAATTGTATTATTGTGTGCAGTACGATGGCCTATTTGACCCTTATTCCAATAATAAATATGGGAAGCATGATCTTCTGTTGCCTGATTAATTGTGGCAGAGCGCCTATTTATTGTCATTCTGCACACTTGTCTTTTCTCTTCAAATTCCCTCTTCCTAACCTACTTTTAACTGACTCATAACTTTCATTCGATCCATAATTCAATTACGTTAATTTAGTCAATACTTTTAAATGTTTAACAACAATTTATTATCAGTTGATTCGGTGAAGAAATTCAAAATTTATCGAATTACTAATATATAAATAAAAATATAAAATATAGTAAATGTATTATACATAAAATAAAATTTTGATTAATTCAGTTAGTTAATCTAAATATAATTTGGATTCGAAAATAAAAGATTTCGATCACCACCAAAATAAAAATGTGATTGATTCAATTTTAGTTTGGAACTAATTGAATTATCAATTTTCATTGTTTTTTCTTGGGATATGAAACATTGAGTAGAAAAGCCTAATCCCTCTTATTAAAAACTAATAACTCAAAGGAGATCCGTTCGAACGTATATTTGTTATATAGATTTGGATACGTTATTAATTTTCAGATTTTTTTATCCTTTTGTGTTATAAATGTAACTTATCTATCTTCTTATTTATTTATTTGTGGAAATTATCATTTTAGTCACCGAATTATAAGATAATATTAAACTCAATCAATCCCTATATGATATACGTTATTACTAGTAAAAAGTAACACTTACAATGCTTTCTATTAAAATAACCCTAATTGGCTAGGGCTACAAATGAAATGTCACCTATTATTTTTTCTTTTTTTTTTTCAAATAGCAATCCAAATCTATGATTTAGTGAAGGTTAGTATTTCCGTTTCTCGTTACTAAGTCATGGAATTGGAGAGAAATTTTGGAGGGAAAAAAAAAAAAAAAAAAAAAAAAGAGAGAGAGAGAGAGAGAGAGAAATATGATGTGAAATTCGAATAGTAACATACTAACATTAGTCAACTAGGTTTACGAAGAATAACAGTAAAGGTGTGTTTGGTTCGCACATAGGAATCTGAATGGAAATCAAATACTCCGTACTTGGTAATGAGATTGGGTTTTGGTGAAAGTATTTTGCATGTTGGTAGTAGGGTGGAATTGGAATTATTACTAATATTTATATTTGGTTATATATGACCCTATAATGGGAATAAAGGATTTAAAAATATAAACACAAAAAATCAAAGCAATTGATCCCAATATATACAATGACATCCAAATTAAAGCACCAATATGAACACACACACACACACAAATTAAAACAAAAATCTAAATGCATTAGTCTAAACTTAAAAATTAGATTACCAATAAGATGGAATGATATCCATTTTTAATTAAGAAATGATGTTTTTAATTGAAGAGGTAATCAAATCTCATAATTATGTTTTAAAAAGTTATCAATTAAACACTAACTATGATTTTGATTCTCATTCCTAGTGTGTAAACTCATAAACCAAATATAGCCTAAATTTGAACAAACATGGGGAATTGAATTTGCTAGTAATTTATCACTTGTAAATTAAAAATAAAAATTTTTGTTTGTTTATTTATTTATACTTTGAAGAGAAGAGATGATAAAAAGGGAAAACATAGGCGGAAGGCTCCAGTTGTTATATTATAGACCGCGGTGCATAATCGATTATGCACCGCGGCCCATATACGGCGCCGTTTCTTTAAGTAAAGAAACGGCCCGCCGTTAGAGTTAACGGAGTCCGTTTGTTTGGTGTATTAAACACCAACTGACACTACAGTATATCCAAACCGACACTGCAGTTATATCAAAATGATACTGTAGTTATAGTGAAATGAAACTGCAGTGTATATAAACTGAAACTGAATAACATTTCACATATTTGAGTGTATATTGTACAATGAAGCTGTAATTATATCAAAATGATCATGTAGTTGTGTTTTAATAAAACTATAGTGTATATAAAATAAAATTAAATAACATTTTCACATATTTGAGTTTATAAATATCGAATGAAACTATAGTTATATCGAAATGAAACTGTAGTTGTGTTCAACTGAAACTGCAGTGCATACAAAATGACACTGAATAACAGAGTTACTTTTTGCAAAGTGTGCAAAACGGCGGAAATAAACACTGTTAATTTTCATTTTTAAAAAAAAAAAGACGCGCGGTGCATAATCGATTATGCACCGCGGTGCATAATATAATGTGCCGAGCAATAAATAATGGGCCACAGAGACAGAGGTTTCAAGGGATAAACGTGACCCAGAAATCCAAAGCTAGAAATTGTGTTCCACCTATTACCTTACATTACAAATTACCATTAGCCATTAGGCATTAGGCAGTGAACGACCGCACGCTGACTTGTGACCCTTGTCCCCCTTCCATGTGGTCCTCTCTCTTCTCTCTTTCAGAATCCAAAGATTACTGTTTTTTTTTTTTTTTTTACTTCATTTTTCTCATCCCCTATTTCTATATATATATATATATATATATATATATATATATATATATATATATATATATATATATATATATATATATATATATATATATGTTTGACTGGACACATCATGCAATATCAATGTGTATCATCTATACGTCACTTTCATACATGCCATATGTTTTCATGTCTTTAATTTGTTCTCAACCTACCATATTAAATTATCAGACATATGAAAGTCAAAACTCATTACTTAGCTAATAAATCCTGTCCCGTGTAGTGTATGATATTATTATGTAAAATTAAAAGAAAATACATTCTCCTCTTTTTTAAAATTTTGAAGATAATAATGGCGCAGACTAATTATCAAATCCATACCATACATTATGCTAATCGAGTTTCCACACTATTAATATTATATATTGCTTGCACGAACTAATAGAAAAGCATATAAATCATGCTATATACACTATGCTAATAGGGGTTTACATAACACACTCGCAAATCATAATAAAAGCATACATGTTATGCTCTAAACATTATGCACCTCATACTGTTAACAACAGCCAAAAGCACCTAATAGAAAAACAAACATGAAAAAAATTTAACAAAATTTACACGAACGCTGACAACTCTGATAGGAGAGGTTATTTCTTGCTTACATTGCGGAAATGCAAGCTACTATTTTCATACACAGGTAGAATCTTCTTGCATCTCTGTTTACAGCTCTTACGCATTCTGTAGTTTGTGCAAGCCATGACAGGAAGCTCTGCGTGATACACACTCAAGGCACGATGGATGATCTTGTTTTTTATTTTTGTGGGGGGAGAAGGCATGACAATCTTGTTACTGTGCAAATGAGTGTTACTTGTCTAAGCAGGCTTATCAAATTTTTATATCCAACATCAGATGTTCACACAAGTATATTAACGGCAGAAAACATCTTCTTATTCACCCAAGTCACATAGGCGAGCTCGACCAGGATTAAGCAGTGATTCTGACATTACCCACCCCTGCAGCAAGAATATACAGCAATCAACAACACAATATGACATCACTAATGTTGATTTTGACTCTACAAATGCTCATTTTGTAAATGACAGATACCATAGATCAACTGACAAAATAGTTGCCCGCTCAAAGGGAACTTGCCTACCATGCAAATTATAAACGCTATTTCCCATAAAAAGAAATAGCAAAGCCTCTTGAGAGTCATGGCAACAGTGAAATACTGAAATGCAGTCAGATCCTAGCTGAGTGAACCCCTCCCTCCCTCCCTAGGGGAGGGTTCACTGACAGACACGACTAGAGAGCTAATGTATCGTGTTGGATACAGAAGCCAGATAAGCCTGGGCATATGCCAGCCCAGCATTTGACATGTACCTAAGACTCAGCGCACCACATTACTTTGACATGATTGGTTCTGATTCAGAAAAAAATAAAAAACAACGCCGAAGAGAAACCATGGATTCAATGTTTCCCTCACCTGTTCTTTGGCCTTACTCTTGAAAGGTGCATACAGAGCTGAGACCATTTTATAAGATTCTGCAACATGAGCATGAAGATCAGCACTGGATGCCAAGGAAAAAGAGAGATCACCCTGCATTTCTTTCCCGGACGAAGACTGATAATTGGACGACTTGATGAAGTGCAGAAGAATATGTGCCTGTATTATATAAAGGACAGTTAGGTAAAAGAAACACCCAAGACATGGGCAGGCACGATATCATCAAAGTCAGAAATCTCACATGGAAAGCCGCTTTGAGTACATCATCAGATTTTGCTTGATTCTTGAGCAATGCATATACATTCCTCTTCGAAGGATTGTACGTCACTATATACTGCTCCCTCTGTTAACAATAAAAAGATAGACATGCAATTTTTCAAGACAAAATAATTTAACACAACTAGCATTCACAATTATTAAATGAGAATGTGAATAAGTGATATCTCAATTCTCAGCTTCATATGATACCTCAAAAATAGGCTTCACTGCAAGATATGAATCAGGATCTTGAAACGCCTCTTTGAATCTTGGTCCTGGAAGCAATTACGACAATGTTTCACTCTGTAATGTTAGATTAAAAATGCAAACAGAAAGTTGGTCTAGCATGTACCAAGAACAATAGGTCTCTGATTTTTCCATGGGGGGAAGACGAATACTTTTTCCGTTGAATTTCCCTCCTGCAATGTAGGAACTCTACCTAAAGAGCAAGAAGCACAATGTTTTACAGGAAACCACCAGATTAAGGGGATGTTTAGAAAAACTTTTTTAAGATTATATATATATAATAATAATCCACTTCATATAAGTTCAGCAACGAATATGGATTGTACAATGCCTTTTAGCTTATTTAAACAATTTGTTTAAACAAGGTATAATCATAACCCCATAATTATAAGATTTGTAAAATGGGGACCAAATCATCTTTTTTGGCATGCATCTTCACAGAAGCAGTAGAATTATATGGATCCCATATCTAATAGTACATCTTATCTTGAGATTAAAACTTGACTAACTGTTAGTGAATAGACATGCAATCCTAGCAAAGCAGTCCCATAAAAGGTAGAGACCAGAAGCACAGTGATCTAACCTGTCTTCAGGAAGGATTCCACTGCCACAGTAAATCTTGCACGATTTAGAGTACACAACACAACAGATTTTACCTAGGAAAAAAAAAACCCCCACACCATGCCAATTGATAATTAATCAATGGTGAACAAACTTTAAAAAGACATTTGACTATTGGAATTCAAATGTATCCACACCAACCTCTTGGTAAGAGCTGAAAAGATAACCAAATGAAAGGAGGGAAAATGTAGTCACTAAGGATGGGTTTCTTTTGGATATCATGATGCTCATCCCAGTGCCAAGCTTCACAAATAATAGAAAAAAAGAACTGAATTAAACTGGAAAGTTCAATTCCAGAATATAATACAAAATTTGAGTTCATGAACATCTATTCCTCCTGGTAACTCCCAAAGGTAAATGCCCATGTACTACCATTTTCTACATTCAACATTTTCAAAATTAAATTCTGCCAAGTAACTAGATATAACAGTGTCTACATTTTTTATCAGGTTAACAGGCAGCAGCAAACCAGTAAGGTACAACCTAAAGCAAATAGTAACACTACGAATGTAATGAAATAGCCAATAAAAATGAAATAAGACAGGTGTTCTAATTACAAGCAAGAAACAATGTTAAATTCAGATATTAAACTAGTGTAAGAGAGCATGAAATAAGTAAGCAAATGCCATAAAAGGTTAAATGGCTAGAATATAACTTTTCAATCGACACATCTATAAATTAGCCCAGCCAAACTAGGTTGGGTTCAAAGCGTAGTTGAATTTTATTTGATCTGAGGAATTTATTGAGTTAAAACCAGGACATGAGTCTTGGATTATTAGTTATCTAACCAACATGCTCATAACCACCAATAAAATAGAAATAAATTGGAGTAGCATACCAAATCGGCAAGATTGGCCACACACTCTCCTTTAGCAGTTACATCACCAATGTTTTCTCCTTTAGCAAAGGCCTTGTATATAGGAGTACGAGTTGATGTTGATGTGACTGCAGCAACATTCTACCAAAAAAAAAGTGTATATTGGTTGAAAACTAGCAATGAGTGATTGCAAGTTAAACTGCATTGTAGGCAAGACAAAATTATAAACCTTGGCCACATTGGCTGCACAGGCTAAAGGAAGAAAAAACTGCGGAAAAGCAGAAGTTGCCAGTTCTACAGCAGCTCCCAACTGCATAAGGAGATCTCCTGTGAACCTAAGCTGATAAAGATAACATTACAGTAGAGAGAACAAATTAGTCAACAGAACAAATTAAAAAATACCACCCAAACCCCCCACCAAAGGAAAAATACAACAAACAAGAAACAGAAAAAGGGTAACATAGAAAATAAATACCTGTTTTAGATCATAATCAAATTTCTTTCCTTGACGGGCAAAAAGCATCTTTCCAACCCGGCCTGCACCATCCTATAATTTCCACAACCTTTTAATTTGTGTATATGGGATACAAAAGTATATTTATTTAACAGGTTTACATTTTAAACTACAGAGAAATTATAGTATGAACATACATATTAGAAATTGCCAACATAATACATTTTAGAACTCAGTTTCAGTTGATGAAAGATTGAAGAAAAAAAAAAAGAACAATGAGTCAATGAAGGACTTTGATTTATCAGGAGTGAGGATAAACAATTTTGTAATAAGACCTGAAGACGTTTCTATCTTTACTATGTTTTGATATTCAATTTGATTGGCATATGTGAATCGCACATCTCTCTTGAAGTAAAAGGGTGAAATGCTTTTGATCTTTTGGAAATACAAATAATGCAATCTACAATATAGCCCTAAAGTGCACCTTTTTGTCCATAAAAACACAGTAGCTAATCACAGATCAACAACTGCTTGTTGAGGTTATCATGGAAATTTTAGACATTAACAAAAAAGGAAACTGCATTTTACAGATTAGGGTTTAAGAGGCATACAATTAACTTCAAAGAAACATGTATATGCAGCAAGGTACAAGTGCACAAGTGCAAAGAGGATAAGCTCAACTAACATTCTTCCCAGCTAATAAACTGAAGTAAACTTCAAAACATGGCACATAGATGAATTTCTCATTATTAGAAACTTATGCATGTCAATTTTCACAGAAAGTTGAATGCACCTTGAGTATCCAGTTGATAGCTACAGCACTCTGGGTAGCTCTGTTTTGGGATACTCCAACTGAACCTAAGAGTGTTTGTGTTGTAAAAACACTCATTGCTCCTCCACAAAAGTACTGCAACAGAAACATCAAACATAATATTTGAATGATTAAAAGAAGCACCTCAATAAATGTTAAAAGCATGCTACCAGATAAGCATGTTGAATTGTAGTCCTCATATAATAATACCTTTAGAGCCCTCCAACTCATGTATGGCACATAAGAAGGCATAACACAATCCGGGAACCCTTCCGGAACCACATAAGATCTCACGAACGTCATCAAATCCTGCACAAAATAGAAAATAAGTAGAAAATTTGGCAATGATTCTTGAAGGTGTATTCTTAAAACTAGGAAGAAGAAAAAAAAAAAAAAAAAAAAAAAAAAAAAAAAACTTGAAATTGACATTAAAATATGCAATCGATATCATGGAGTATTTTACTCGCAAAAGTGTTTCATAAGGACCCGTAAAAGGATTCACTTATGTCAATGTCATGAGTGTAACTTAATTGTTACTGTAATTCTGTCTTTCTAGTAACAAAATAGAAAGTCCCACTAGAAGAATCGAAATCAAGAGTCAGTCACAGGCAATGTGAATTAGAAAATATTGAGAATAACAGACACAATTAAAATCTATGCAAAGCAGAGAAACTGTTGTTACGAAGTCAAGTTAACTTTATTTACTACTAAAAAAAAACAACACATGCAATAAAGTCTGAAAAAGCAGAAATCAACGCAAATTATTTAGGCATAAACTTAACCTAACCGAAAGGAAACTAACATCAATGGGAGTTTGAGGACTCTGCAATCCAACAGCACGAATCGAGCTCTTCTTCTTCGGTTGCATCGCCCCGCAACTCACACTGCCATCCGGGAAGTATTTCCACATGCGGCCGTCGATCTCCTCGCAGCAGAGCAATCTGGAGCTGGCATCAACCAGCGGCAGCTCCGTTGGGGCGGAGGAAGGCGGCGCGGAGGCGAGATTGGCGCTAATCCGGAGCGTCTCGCGGACGAGGAGGCGGGCGTCATGAGAGGAGGTGGTGGCCGTTAGGGTTTGAGAGGCGGAGTTGGAAGGAGACTTGAGCTTCATGGCGTATTGCGGGAGAAAAGAAATGGCGAAATTGGAAAATGCGAGGTCCTTTTATGGAGACGAAAGGGAGCTTTGGAAGTGACGACGGAGAGGTATATTACAGGAGGACAGGTAGAGGTGGCCTAACTATTTTTTGCAACGGAGCTTAAGAGAGAGTTGCAAGAGACGACAGAAGAGCGCGTGAGTGAGTGAGTGATGCACAATTGCCTACACATTCTCAATTTCTCCAGAAAATTTAAATACTGCTCCAATGTTAATTGTAAGAGTTAATACCATCTGAGGTCCTCCGAGTATAGTAATTTCGTCATGTTTAGTCCTAAATTTTTAAATTGATCATTTGTGGTCCTTCAACTTTCAAATTTAACCATTTGTGGTCTAAGTTAATCACTCATGGTCCTTTAAGTTTCAAAATTTAACCAGTGGTGGTCATGTTGAAAGGACCATAGTTGGTTAAATTTTAATAGTTGAAGGACCATGGGTGGTTAACTTGAACCATGAATGGTTAAATTTGAAAGTCGAAGGACAACATATGGTCAATTTGAAAGTTTAGGACTAAACGTGACAAAACTACTATACTCGAAGGACCTCAAATGATATTAACTCTAATTGTAAAATGACTTTTTCAACAAGTTGTTTCAAAAAATTATTTTGACTAATTTTTTGAATTTTAGCATTTTAGAGTAATAAATTATTTTAAAAAGTTAATTAATCAAAAATTTATATTGAATGTTTAACCAAATCAAACAGCTAATAGTGGTTAAATAAGTTAAAATTTGTTTATAAGCTAACTATGTTATCAAAACATGATCTAATTCACTTTTTGTCTTAGATTATATAGGTGGTAGTCTATTTTTAGTCTTTTTTTATTAGAACATCCACATTTGGTCTTAATATTATTATGGCATGACCATTTTTTATCCTTTATCAACAAAACAGTTTTAATGTTGTTAAATACAAAGCTATTTTGGTCTTCAATTGTGGATTTTAAAAAAATAAACATAAAAATATAGTGGAGTTAACTCATTTTGTATAAAAATGATGAAATGTCTTTGTATTTAACGACATTTGAGCAATTTTGTTGGCAGATGACTAATAATGGTCATGCCACAATAATACTAGGACCAAATGTAGATGTCCTAATAAAAGAAATGATTAAATGTAAATTGTCACCTATAAATCTATGACCAAAAATAGAATTAACTCATAAAATTATATTCCTTCTGTCTCATTTTATTTGCCATCCTTACTATTCATTTGTCAAACCAATTCTTTCTTCTTCTTTTTTTTTTTTAGTATTTTTACTTATTTTTAAATTTGATTTTTTTTGTGTTTAATAGTACTTTTAGTATAGTTTATAAATATATAAATTTTGTATATTAATACTAAAATTCATATTATGAAAAATTAGATTAAAAATAACTCCAGTCAAGTCTCGTTAATTGAACCAGACACATAAAATAGAACGGATGGAGTAATATTTTTGATGAAAAATATAATAATATAAAAATAAATTAATTGTTATTTATGAAGAAAAATGCAATACTTTTAATAAAAGTCCAACACTTTTAAATCAAAATCTAATATTTAGAAATTAAAGAGTTATTCTTGAAAAAAATTATAATACTAATTAGGATAAATTAATTGATTATTACTTATAAAGAAAACATAATATTTATAAGAAAAAATGCAATATTAATTATGAATAAATTGATTATTACTCATAAGGAAAAGTGTAATACGGTAATACTTTTTAATCAAAATGTAATAGTTAGGAGTTATGGAGTTACTTATGAAATGACCTATAATATTTATGAGTCAAAGTATAACACTCGGAAAAACTCAAGATGATCTCATTAGAGATTTTATCTTTATTTTATAATTAATGATTAATAATAAAGAAAATTCAAATTGCTCACGTAGGCTATGTTTGGCAAACCTAGCTGAAAAGGTAGATGAAAGCTTAAAAGGAGTTGAAAGCTTAAAAGGAGCTGAAAGCTGAAAAGCTATAAATTAAGAGCTGAAAACTGAAGAACTGTTAAGCTAACTGTTATGCTTGAAAGTGTTTGATAAAATTAGCTTTTTGATAAGCTGATAAATGTAAAAAGACAAAAAAAGTACATCTTCATGAATTTTAAATTAGTTTGTTTACATATTAAAATTTAATATTTTGTCTTTAAAAAAAATTAACATTTTGAAATAAAATTATTAGCATAATCATGATCTAGCATTTCATAATGAAGTAGCAATATTGTTGCGAATCTCCTTCATCTCATAATAATAATAACAACAACAACAACAACAACAACAACAACAACAACAACAACAACAACAATAATAATAATAATAATAATAATAATAATAATAATAATAATAATAATAATAATAATAATAATAATAATAATTGCGGTGAAAGTTGATAAAGGAGAAGAGAAAATGATTTTATTTGGAAAGTATAAAGGATGTCATTTCTTTAAATCTTTAATTAAAATAATAAAGACAAAATTAGAAAAAAGCTAGGAAGCTACTAGCTTATTTTGATCACGTATTTATTATTATTATTAGTCTTCTTCAAATTTTAAAAATTTCTTATGGGTGTATTAAATTAAGACTTTTAAAGACTTTCAAAATAAAGTGATGCATTTTAAATGACTTTTGTAGAATTTATCTATACTTTTCTAAAATCTTTTACACTTTCATCAACTTTGTACTAGTCTATAAAAATCTGTGGGACAAACATTTATAGAATTTTAAAAACTTTTTCATATTAAAAAGTCTACAAAAGTTATTAAAACTCTAAATTGAATACACCCTTACAAACATTCCATAACTTCTATTAATACTATTTATAATTTTCTTACAAAAATATATTTTTATAAATCATAAATAAATTAATGCATAGAAAAGAAAAAATAAAAAATATTGATTGTCACAAAAACAGCTTATATTGTACATAAAGAAAATATAATCAATTTTCACTAAATTTAACCAATAAAAATATTTCTTGAACTAATGAAACAACTAATGTTGAGTAATATAATTATCAGAATGTCTAGAATGAAAAAGTACGAATTAAAATATTCATCTTGTTAGTACAATAATCTTTGATTGGCATTGATTTGACCTTGTTGGGTGTCTCTCCACATGTCCCAAACTATTTTAGCCCTCCATTCGTTTGCATGCTCCTGTTGTTGCTCTTGCGTTTCAAACTATTGTTCAAAATTATCTACATCATTCATCGATAAAGGTGAAAGAGATTCATCATTATTTAGCTCAATTGGAAACTCATCGTTACGACACTCCTTGCGAAGAAAATTATGAAGCCCTGCACAACCTAGTACAAGTTATGCTGGAGTCTTATAAGGGAATGAAGGTGTTGACTTGAAGATCGTAAACCTCGATTTGAATATACCAAATATCCTCTAAATTACATTCCTCAAAAGAAGCATGTCGTAGATTGAATAGCTCAACATCATTTTTAGGGTCACAGCCTTGTCCGACAAAATCTTGGAGATGATAATGTACACCTCGATATGGAGCTAAAAACTATTGTCAGTTTGGAAATCTACAATCCACTAAAAAGTATTTACCTACACACACTTAACATATTAAGTATCCAACATGTAAAGTTATTTAATATTATTAAAAAAATAATAATAAAACTAAACTAACCTTGTGGCACTTTAAGGCCATTCCTCCTTTATAAATTGTCACTTAGCAATTTTGAATCATGTGATGAATCCTCCCACTCGCTAAAAACATATATGAATTCTAAATCAAAGTTACAAGCAGCCAATACATTTTGTGAAATTATTTCATAACGATTACGATAACTACTTACATGAGTTACATCACGCCCAGTTACCATTGTTGGAATATGTGTGTCATCAATAGCTCCAACATAATCATAAAGTAAATTCAACACATAAATATAATTTCATATTCATATGTATAAGAATATATATCTATGCTACTGATAAAAGACAAAACAATAATTAATGAAATAGAGTGATTTATTGCTTACCTTAAAAGTAAGGGTAAAATCTTGTACTTTCTCTTATTCGTGTAGGCACTGCAAAACTAGGTTTGACCATCATCTTAGGTGCTATTGTGTTAAGAACCTTTAAAACTTTGTTAAAAATCTTACTTGTAGCAAAGTGTAACCGATAAAATGTTTCACGAGTATGACAATATCTAGAGTTCTGGGCAAATGTTAGTAAAAATGTTGCAACCATTTCTTCAACAGTAATATATGTATATTGTATCCTTTAGAAGTGTTTTCTCTCTTATAATATGACAACTTTAAAAACACATTTGGATACATTTTGTATACCTGCCGAAAGTTATCAGAATCTTCAACCAATACGTTTTGTATGTAATTGTTTCCATGTGAAGTAATTGATCGCCGAGCTAGTGGATGTTCAATTCGTTCACCATTATTATCAATAATAACCTCTTTCAATACGTGTACAACCATAACAATTATTTCCGATAAGTGTTGAATGATTTCATAAAACTCTACTTCTTCAAATTCTTCATCTACTTGTTCTTCCTCCACATCAACCATCTCAAGGTCATCATTGCTATAAATACTAAAGCTTGACATTATATATCAATCACCAAAATGGTATTAAATAGTACCTACAAACAAAACTATTTATATGAAATAATAAAAAATATTTTTAACAAGAATTCTATCAACTTCTTGTAAAAATACTTAATAAATATCGTTAATGCATAGAACAAAATTTATGAAACTAATACTGCTACTACTAATAATAATAATACTATGAACTCTCATTTTTGACAATTTGAACATTATCCAATTATAGCGATCTTGGGGTGACATATTTCGAAATGTATCCTTCTTTGATTTCGTGTTCAACCATTCCAAAACCTTGAAACAAGTATCACTATCCAATTCCGGGAGTTCCTTAATAGCATCCCAACAACCATTTTCATTTTCCCTTTTCTGCACCAAACTATGGATATCAGCCGCAATTGAATCAACTCGTCTACATAAGCTTCCATATTCTAATCAAGCACCGTCCCGAATAGTTTTGCCACCATGCAAGTGTAGGTAGCCCTAGATTTTTTAAAGCCAAAAGGCATGACCAAGTAGCAGAATACTCCATCTGGGGTGGTGAAAGCAGTTTTATCGGTGTCTTCCTCATGCATGGATATTTGATGGTACCCACAGAACGCAT